GGGGGGGGGTATTCTGGTAGCGGCTTCTTGCGGCTTTCGGGTAGACGTTGACCGTGGCTTTGTGACAGCATGGACCTGTGATGAGGCTGTAGCCGGGCTGCGTTGCTCAACGATGGCTGAATCATGCTTGAGGTTTTCGAGCCGCTGGCATTCGTCCGTCAATGTCCGCAGATTGATGTTGGGGTCGTGTTCTATGCGATTAAGTAAGCGATTGCGGATTTCTGCGTCACGGGGAGAGTGAAGTGCGTACACGAATATCAGGCATTTGAACTGGTCGTCAGTCATTGAGTGCAACTTGGATTTCTCGCACTCCCGGTTCACAATGCTGGCTAGTGTCAGATAGTCATCTGCACAGTTTTTCGCCAACTTGAGGCAGTAATACCGAATACTGAACAAAGACGCCTTTTCATCAAACGTGTCTGAAAGTTGTTGGACCGTTTCTTCAAAAGTGAAATCACGTAGACTTTTTGCCAGAAGCAAATATAGATAGATAGGTAGATAGATAGATAGATAGATTACCGGATATGCATGCCTGACGAGCGGCAAGAACTGCGAAACCGGTCGTGTGCTTCCAGGGAAATTTTGTGCAGTCATTCACATACTACTTATTATAATATATATCTGAAGGTTCTCTTAAGTTGGTCAACCTGACATTATCTAGCCCACCAGTAACTTATGGATCTATTTCGTTGTCCCCCGACCCAGGTTCAGGAGACAGCCACCAAGCTTTTGGCTTGCCGTTTTAAAAGTTGGCTCTTAGACGCTGATTGAACGATCGCGATCAAGCGCCCTCAGTGCCCATGGTGCCACGGGGTTTCATCTAGGAAACGGTCTTCCTGTAATGCGCTACAAGGGTCTGCGGACAGTACTTTTACATGGCATATCTACTTAACCACTAATAAGGCTATGGTCTCTTATCCCATTCCATCTACCTGACGCAGGGTTGAAAAGCAAACTGGTTAACCAAGTTAATAGCCACCAGATTGCCTGGAAATGACCGTTATAATCAGACCCCTCACCACGGACGGTGACATGATAGTTTAACTTGACGGTCCAGGTGTAATATTGACACGACCTGCGCAAGAGAAGGTTAGTCTTCAACCGTCGGGCTTACGATGAGGAGGGGTGGTTTGTTATGGTCTAGGATGCCAGTTTTGCGAGTCGAAAGTCTTTTGCCAATTCTCGAATGAAATCAGATCTTATGTGAAAAACTTGATCGAGTTTCTCACCACTCCTTAAAGTCAATCGGGAACCACGACTTTCTAACATAGTACATTGCATTCCGTTCACTAGAATGTGGTTGCTGCACCTGAACATCAAGATTATGGACAGGTCACCGCACAACTCGTATTCGAATCCCCCCAGGGGGCACATTTTCTGGGATAAATCTCATGTAAAGCCATGTGCAGAATCTGTCTGATCTCTGAACGGTAGTATGTTGTATCATCGTACCAAATTTGGTTGATCTGTGTGGTTTAGTTTTGCCATCACGACGAGACTGAACCTTGACACTGGTGTGATGGCTTGTGCACCTCTCTGACCTAACGAGCTACACATGAGATCTCATCATGCCTGGAAGGTCAATGGGTTGAGGTCAGACGACGTGGTTTAATTTGGGGAAAAGCGCGGGGTCGTTGACATTGTGTGCACTATGCCTGTCCTTTAAGGGGTGCTTCAAAAATGAGCCACCTGCACATATTTTTAAGGCTCGATCAATGTATTCTGGTCTATGTTGTCCGTTGTATCGACTTGACACTTCGCTGAAATTGGAACTTATTATTTGGTGCTATCTCCAGTTATACTTTACCATTGCTGCATCGAATTGTCCCGAACGATTTATTTGTCAAATTGCAGTTTCTAACATTCTATCTACAAATATTAATTCTTTTTAGTCCGATTCCAACCGTAACTAGTGGGGAAGCGAACAGTAGGTACATTGCAAGGCTTTGTTTGATAAAAAACTGGTATGCGAGTTAAAATGACTAGCGAGTGTGCAATGAGTTATCGGAAGGAGGAATAACAAAGTGCACAACCGTTTAAGTTGTGACCTTACTGTCACAATTAAATTTTTTAATTTTTGCTAACCGCAGCAGGGAGGGAACAGAAAAATAAACAGCATGGTAGCATGTTATTCACTTCGGTTTTTTTACACACCATAGTGTGATGAACAGCAGACGGGGTAAGTCCTATTGTCCCCAGGATCTGTTGGAAACCGGAAACCTAAACCCCGGGACTTGGAGTGGCAAACGATATAAGGCCCCACTAGATTAAGCGTGGTATTGAACCGTATGACAACAAAGCTGCCTACTACAAGGGGTGGGTAACCGTGACGAGCTTCGAGCCACAGGGTTCAAAGCACGCCGGTGACAGCGGCAAAACCACTGCGTCGGCACCACCACCATTTGGTAGTTTCAAAATATTCAGATAACTATTACACTTTTATTTTTCCCCTCTGGGTCTCTAGCGGTGCAGACGATTCGGATATTTGATTAAGGTTAATCGGTTGTATTACTATTTGGTAACCATTGGTGGGAAGCTTTGAATCATCAGGTTTTGGCCGTGAAATTTATTTGAGGTATCGTCTATTTGTGACTCCTGTTATCGGTTTTGTTAATTTTGTTCTGAATTTGAACATTTTTTCGTCTTCCTTTTTGCAGTCACTATGGCGTCAATCAGGACAGAGTTAATGGAGCTCCGTTTTGGCCCCCCCTCAGTTCTTCTGGAATCAACCTGAAAGCTACTCCTTGTTCTACCGAGCGTTACACTTATAAATTCGAGGGCCAGCCGTCCGCGTTAACTGTATTCCAACCCGAAGTAATCAAACGCAGTAACAGAAACCAGCCTGCGCCCCAGCTATCCCGTATCCTGAGACCACGACGTTTTGTTTGTCGCAAATGTAAAAAGGCCTACCATGTTGAAGAAGGAAATGGCGTTGAAATGTCCTCTGCTGCACTATCCCTCCAAATTGAACGACACAATCAAGATGGCTTGGTAGCCAGTTCAGACAACGAAACAGCTCCTGTACCGTCCCCCAACTCTGCTATTTCCAAGGTTTTGCGTGGCAGTCGATCCAGGATAATTCCCTGCGACGTCAACGGTCAGACGCAATCCATTCGTCGTGTAG